GGGTCAGCACACTGAACTATGAGCACGTCAGCAGGGCTTTGGCACTGATGGGTGACCTGGTCTGTTTAGGGGGACTTCCTGGAGAAGGTGACATAGAAACCATAGCTGTAGGAATTGGGGCAGGGGAGGTCTCCATGTAGATAGCTGGGGACCTCCTAGCAAGTGGGAAGTGGCCCAGAGTGGTACCTGTGAAGGCCAGCCTTCAGGGCCTTTGTAAGACACAATAAAGACGGGTCTCAACCGTGAGCCTGCTTTAGGGTCTCTGGCTAACACCAATGGGAGGGATGGAATGTCTTAACCACAGCAGGCCATGCCCCAGCCCACAGCATCTTTACTAAGCTGTGAACATTAAAGGCCCTCTTACAGTGGGACATGTCTCCAAAAGTATTTTTATCTGTTCTTCGGAGCTTTGGGAGGTTTGCCTGATTTCTGTGAATCCTGAATGAAAGCTCAATATTTTCTAGTCCTTTTTGAGTTTTATCGTTTCCTTAAACTTTTTTTCTCTGCTTTGTAGCTAGGTGTCTTAGTTAGGGTTGGTTTTGTTTTGTTTTATTTTTTTCGAGACAGGGTTTCTGTGTAGCTTTGCGCCTTTCCTGGAACTCGCTTTGGAGACCAGGCTGGCCTCGAACTCACAGAGATCCTTCTGCCTCTGCCTCCCGAGTGCTGGGATTTAAGGCGTGCGCCACCACCGCCCAGCTTAGTTAGGGTTTCTATTGCTGTGAAGAGGCACCAGGACCACAGCAACTCTTAATAATGAAACCATTTCACTGGAGTGGCTCACTTACAGTTTCGGAGGTTCAGTCCATTATCATCATGGTGGGGAGCATGGCGGTGTGCAGACAGACATGGTGCTGGGGTAGTAGCTGAGAGTCCCACATCTTGCAGGCAACAGGAAGTCGACTGAGACAGTGGGCAGTATCCTGAGCATAGGAAACCTCAAAGCCTGTCCCCAAAGCGACACACTTCCTCTAGCAAGGCCATACTCCTAATAATGCCACGCCCTATGAGATTATGGGGGCCAATTACATTCAAACTACCACACTAGGGATGGGACCCAGGGCCTGTGCTAGGCCAGTAGCCCATCACTGAACTAACCACACCCCTAGCCTTATACTCAAACTTTTTTTTTCTTTTAGATTTACTTATTTTTATGGGTTTCCCCCCGCCCTCCTGCATGTGTGTATATGCACCAGATTTCCTGGAGCTGGAGTCACAGATGGTTGTGAGCCATCATGTGGGTGCTGGGAACTGAACCTGGGTCTTCTGCAAGAACAAATGCTCTTAGCCCCTGAGCATCTCTCCAGCTCCAAAACACCTTTTTAAAAACAAATTTTATAATCGTGTGTGTGTGTGTGTGTGTGTGTGTGTGTGTGTATGTGCACACACCTGTGTGCACATTTGCACATGTGAATGTAGGTATCCAAAGAGAGCAGAAAATGGTGTTAGATCCCTGGAGCTGGAGTTACAGGAGGTTGTGAGCCAAACAATGTGGATGCTGGGAACCGAACTGGAGTCCTCTGAAAGAATAGTGGATGCTGGGAACCGAACTGGAGTCCTCTGAAAGAATAGTGAGTGCTCTTAACCACAGAGCCAATCTCTCCAGCCTCACCTAAACATTTTTGAGACCAAGTCGCTCTGTAGACCAGGCTGGCCTTGAACTCACAGAGACCCACCTGCCTCTGCCTCCTGAGTGTTGGGGTTACGGGTGTGTGCCACCATGTCCAAGTAAACTTCCTTTGCTAATTGAAAGTGCATGTACATATGTGTGTATACATGCATATATGTGTATGCATATATATGTACACATATGTATATATGTGTGTACATATATGTGGATATGTGTTTAAATTGTGTATGTGTGTACAAGTGTGTGAGCATGTGTGTACATGTACATGTGTGTGTGTGTGTGTACACATGCGTGGGCAAGCACATATGTATACATATGGAGGCTGGAGCTTGATATTGGGTGTCTTCCTCGCGCTCTCTTTCCTTTCTTTTGAGGCAGGGTCTGCCACTGGCCCTGCAGCTCACCGATTCAGCTAGCCTGGCTGGCGTGTAAGCCTTAAGGATCCTCCTCCTTCCTATCTCCACCCCCCAGCACTGGGATCAGGCGTGTACTACCACACACGGCTTTTACACGGGTGCTAAGGACTGAACTCAGGTCCCACGCTTGCACACGGCACTTTATCAACGGAGCCGTCTCCCCAGCCCCTCTGTTCATGGTTCTGGTTCTTTATGGCTCTTGGCCAAATGTCCCAAACCAAACTGTTTGGAAAATGATTTCCAGCCACAGGTCCGCTGGTCAGTCACTCAGGGACACCCCGGGTACCTGTCCTCGGCGCAGCTGCATCCATCACCTGCAGTGTTTGGTTGTGCTTGCTGGAGCTTATCTTTGCTAGCCCGAGGTAGGAGTGTGCTCACAGACAAAGGTTTTGTCACGGTGCTTGCAGTCCTGCAGGGCTCCCAGGATGTTCCTTGGCAGGTACAAGACAGACAAGGTCCTTGTCCTGGTGGGCGGGAGCTGGAGTCAAGGGACAGACAAGTGGTGGTCCTCTGGGGAACTGCTCCAGTCAGTCCATCTTTGAGGGTATGCACACACAGAGTGCTGTGGGCAGAAAAGCTGTGGCGGTGCACACCTCTATACTAATGCTAGGGAGGCTGAGGCAGGGGGATTGTAAGTTTGAGGCCAGCCTGGGCTACATAGGAGACCCTTCTCTAAAATCAAGAACTGATGCTAGGCATGGTGATACCTGTGATCACAACACCTGGGAGCTAGGCATGGTGACACCTGTAATCACAACACCTGGGAGCTAGGCATGGTGACATCTGTAATCACAACACCTGGGAACTAGGCATGGTGACATCTGTAATCACAACACCTGGGAGCTAGGCATGGTGACACACACCTGTGATCACAACACCTGGGAGCTAGGCATGGTGACACACACCTGTAATCACAACACCTGGGAGCTAGGCATGGTGGCACATACCTGTGATCATGACACCTGGGAGCTAGGCATGGTGACACCTGTGATCACAACACCTGGGAGCTAGGCATGGTGACACCTGTGATGGTGACACCTGTGATCACGACACCTGGGAGCTAGGCATGGTGACACACACCTGTAATCACGACACCTGGGAGCTAGGCATGGTGGCACACACCTGTAATCACGACACCTGGGAGCTAGGCATGGTGGCACACACCTGTAATCACGACACCTGGGAGCTAGGCATGGTGACACATACCTGTGATCACAACACCTGGGAGCTAGGCATGGTGACACACACCTGTAATCACGACACCTGGGAGCTAGGCATGGTGGCACACACCTGTAATCACGACACCTGGGAGGCAGAGGCAGAAGGATCACAAATTCAAACTCATCCTTGACCACACAGTGAGTGCTAGGTCAGCCTGGGCTCTATGAGACAAAACTCCCCGCCCTAAAAAGGGGGGGGGGCGGATTAAAAGACAGACTGGTGCTGCTTTGGATCAGTTTTTTGCAAAGAATAAAAAGGTGGCATTTTACACTCTCACCTGGGACAAAAAGCTAAAGGACTGCGATGGGGTTTGTCTCCTGCTGGACGCGGGCCTTTCCTGCCGGGTAGAGCGGCAGAGTCCCACCTTGTCGTCAGCTCTGCTGGGCTTCCCTGAAGACCTGAGGGAGGACCATGAGTAAGTCACTTCATCCCTCTTCCTTGGTTTCCCCAAGAGGAAAGCAGGGAGGGGTCTGTTCCACTTGCTCTTCCTGGGACCTGAGGAGGATGCCTGCTTCCTCGTCTGTTAGAACCATGTGGTCCTAGTTTGCAGTGGTAAAACCAAAACAAGACATATGGGGGTGCCTGGGATGTGCAGAGCTGTGTGTGTGCTGCTGTGGCTGTCTCTTCTAGAACTGTGCTGAGCCATGCAATGCACTGGGCACAAGGCCTGCTTCACGGTGGAATCTACTCTCTTCAGGCACCCCCATCTTGGCCACTGTCCTGGGCTGCAAGCCCCCACTCTTGTATCCTGTACAAGACTCTTACCCCCTGTACCTGAGCAAGTTACAGGTCCCTGGGACTCTTAAAGAAATTGCCCAGCCTGAGCAAAAATCCCATGTGCACATTGGGACCCGGAGCAGAGCCAGGCAGCCTCCCTGCCGGGGGCTGGCCAGAGAGACCCGTCTGGTTTGGATTGCCGGCGCCTCTCACTCCCTGTCTCAACCCACAGCCCATGTCCAAGCAGCCAGGCTGGTGCCTTATTTGGGTCTTGTCTCCCCCCCAGGATGACACTTCATGGCCTTAAAAGGCAGGCACAGGGGGCTGAGGAGGGCAGTTACCACTGTTGGCTGGAGAGGCCCTCCAGCTGCGCCTTCCGTCCTTGGCTTGGCCAGCCGGTCCCTCCAGCTGTGTGGAAAACCAGGCCCACGAAACCAGAGCAGCCAGGCTGGATAATCCTCCTGGGTGCGGAGGGGGCAGACTCCTGGAACAGGCAGCCAGCCTCTCTCTGGCTTTCATTTGAACATATCACTTTGGTCTTTTCTCACTCAGTGGGGTATGGAGAGCAAGCTCAATCATTTATTGAGCATCTACTGTGTACCTGAGCCCTGTCTATGTCCAGTAGACCCGTGCGCACGTCACCCTCTCCTGGCCTTGCCAGACAAGAACAGAGGCCTTACTGTTGCAGGTCAGAGGGGACAGATCCCACAGATCAGTAAGTAGAGGAGCTGAGTTTGTCCGTTAGCTCTGCCACTGGCTGGGCTCCGTGGGGAAGCCTTCAGCTTATGTGTGGCCCCTACAGGGGGCCGGGCCCTTTCACCAGCCCGTCAAGGAGTCAACCTTCTTTAGTCCTGCCTCCTTATTGCTGGGTGGCCCAGGGAAGTTACCCCACCTCCCTGTGCCTCTCTGTGCGTTAAGGGGAGCAGAGATCCCCGCTAGGGCAACAGCATGAACGACTGTCTAGCTGGGCAGGGCTGGCTCAGGTCAGCAGACCCTTAGCCCACTTCCCTCCATTGCAGGCTCCCCTGGCGTCCTGGAGCCTACATGGTCAGGAAGCACCATGCGGCGGATGGCAGTGCGGCCCACAGCATTCTCAGGTGGGTCCTGGGGCAGCCTCTTGGGGATCTCTGGACCGGAGGAGATCTAGGGTGGACCCAGGGCAGTGTGTGGTAATTGTCCCTGGAAGTCTTCTGGGTCCAGAAGTAGAGGATGAAGGGTAACACTTCTCTACCTCAGCCCCTGGACAGAGAGCCTCAAGGCAGAGGACGTACCCAGAGGGGAGTCACGCTGAGACCTGTGACCCCTAGGTTTTTATACTTAGAGCCCAACACCCCAGTTTCCTCTCTGTACTGGGGAGCCGGAGGCTTCAGCCAGATGCTTTCAAACCTCACAGCTGCCCACAACACTACTCTTATGAGCAGGAAACCGAGAGTCAATTGAAGCCTTACCCTGCCCAGGGTGCCATAGCCAGGAGTGGGCAGCCCTGGGTCTGGCTCCTCTGAGCTGTGTTGGGGGTTACTGTTCTGGGCACTCACTGCATCTTGTCACAAACTCAGGTGCCTCCTGTGTGGCATTTGTGTCACACACAGGGCTACAGTGAGGACCAGGGCTGCCAGTTTGTACATGCCTCATAAAAAAAAAAAAAGGTCAGAAAAGCTGGAGTGTGATTCTGTGATACGGCCAGACAATGGTACCTGTGAGGCCAGTAGCATCCCAACTGTGGTCTGTTGGTCCCTAGAGCTGGTGGGCCCAGGCTCCACCCCTGCCCGGTAGGAAACAACAGGGTTTCCTGCCTGTGGTTTCTGGAGTTGGTGTTTGAAGGCTGAGACCATCAGAACCAGGGCCCCGGAGCCTGCACTGGGAGGAAGGGTCCTCTCTGGAGGCTCTGGAATGGAAGGAACCCTGAGGAGTGATGCCCACCCAGGCTGCAGTGACCCTGCAGCCCAGCCCACACTGCTCCCCATAGATTAGGGTCATTAGTACCTGTCCCCCAAGGGTGAGAACTCTAAGGGGATGTAGGAGTTCTAGCCTTAGCCTCAGCCTTCCTCCTCCCCACAGGTTGTCTCAACTGCAGCAGAGTGTCTGAGCTGACCGAGAGGCTGAAGGCGCTGGAGGCCAAGGTGGGTGAGCAGCTCCCCTCTCGCCCTAGGCCTTGGAGACCTTGGCCTCCCCCACTCCTTCCTGCACCCCCGTGCCCATCCTCTGAGCGTCCATGCTCGGGTAGACTGCTTTCCACAGGCATGGCCCAGCCCCTGCCTGATGTCCATCCAGCTCTTTGTCCTCTGCTCCTCAGTTGCCATCCCTATGAACTGCTGCACAGCCCTACAGCCCGGTGCGCCGTCCCTCCAGGAGGCTGTAAAGCCCCCTGCCATGAGGCCCAGTTTCAGGCAGATAACACATCCCCCAGCACAATGACAGACCCTGCCTGCCTCTAACCTTTGCCCCTTATCCTGCCCCTCCATGCCATTATACATAAATAAAAATGCCCGTTACACATCTCACGTTATCTCAAGATAAAAAGCGTTCAAAGGTTACATACAACATAAGACAGTTAAACATGATCCTGAACGTAGGGTCAGGAAAACTCAGAAATCCAGAAAACCGTTTGCAGAGACTACCTGTGTCCCAGAGAGAAAACTGAGACAGGATCTCACCATGTAGCCCTGACTGACCGGGAACTCACTATATAGACTACACTGGCCTCCTACTCAGAGGTCTACCTATCTTTGTTTGTTCATTCATTTGTTTATTGTATGTGTGTGGGGTTCTCTCCATCCGGCACGTGGGTGCTAGGAAGCAAACTCAAGTCATCAAGTTCAGTGGCAGGACCTTTACTCCGAGTCCCCTCACCAGCCCCCTCTCTTCTTTTGAGAGAGGGTCTCGCCTATGCCAGGCTGGCTTCAAGCTGGCTGCAGAGCTGAGGATGACCTCCTGCCACACCTGCTCCGTGCTAGGATTACAGGTGTGCACTGTTTATGTGGTGCACTATTTATTTATGTGGTTTATGTGGTGCTAGGATCAAGTCCAGGGCTTTGTGCAAGCTAGCCACGCCCTTCACCTGTGCACTATAAGACCACCTGTTCTCTTTCCCTTTTCTTTCCTTTTCAAATAGTATTGTCTTAATTAGGGTTCTGTTGCTGTGAAGAGACACCACGGCTACAGCAACTCTTATAAAGAAAACATTTAATTGAGGTGGCGGCCTACAGTTTTAGAGGTTTAGTCCATTATCATCATGGCATGGAGCATGGTGGCGTGCAGGCAGACATGGTGCTGGAGCAGGAGCTGAGAGTTCTTACATCTTGACTCACAGGCAACAGGAAGTGGTCTAAAACACTGGGCGCTATCTTGAGCATATATGGGACCTCAAAGTCCCCTCCACAGTGACATACTTCCTCCAACAAGACCACACCTCCTAATAGTGCCACTCCGTTTGTGGGCCCATTTTCTTTCAAACCACCACAGGTGTATTGCTGTGTAGTGCAGGCTGGTCTTGAACTCTAGATCTCCCTGTCTCTGCCCTCTTAGTAATTGGGACTGCAGCCATAAGCTGCCACCTTTTGTGTATGGTGGGCATGTGAGAGTGCTGTAGTGTGTGTGTGTGTGTGTGTGTGTGTGTGTGTGTGTGTGTGTGTGTGTGTGTGTCAAAGGACACTTTGGGGGTGTTCTTTTCTTCTACTATGTGGGTCCCTGGAATTGCACTGAGGTTATTAGGGCTGGCTGTAGGAACTTTTGCCTGCTGAGCCATCTCACTGGCTCTAAGCTACCACTTCTTTTGTTTTGTTTTTTTTGGGACAGGGTTCCTCTGTGTAGCCCTGGCTGTTGTGGAACTAGCTCCGTAGACCAGGCTGGCCTCAAACTCACAGAAATCTGCCTGCCTCTGCCTCCCAGTGCTGGGATTAAAGGTGTACACCACTGCCACCCGGCAGCTACCACTTTTTAGTCATCTTTTTTCTTCCAGTGTTTCCGGACATGCGTAGACACACACTGTCTTCTTGCTCTGCTCTAACCCTCCTCTGGGAACTTGTCCTGATCAGATGTGAGGAAGTTTAATAAAGTGTTAACTGCCATAGGGAAATCTGGAAGCCAGATCCCTGAAGGAGAAGGAGCAGTTACATAATTACAGACCATGTGCTGTGAGGACAGACCACCGTCTTTTCCTGACCCTTGGTCAGGAGCTTGGCATACTTGCAGAATCTTCTTCTTTGCCCTAGGCTCTAATGTGGGTGTGGGGTGTCAGGCCCTCCCAGTTTCCCCTGCAAAATCACAGTGGTACAGCACTTGCTTGGCATGTGGGAGGCAGTATGCCAGTCTTCAGCATGCATGCACACACGCGCTCTCTCTCTCTCTCTCTCTCTCTCTCTCTCTCTCTCTCTCTCTCTCTCTCTCACACACACACACACACACACACACACACACACACACACAGAGCTCCTCCCAACCCGCTGTGGAACTTTAACAGAAGCAGCATACTCTTATGGCCAGCAGATCCCATGATCACGGAGCTCAACTTGGGTGGCAGGGGCAGTGCGGAATGACTGTTTCACGGTGCATATGATCAATGGTGACACTTGTAATGACATTCTGGGCCCAAGGTCTCCACTCTGCTGGCTTCTTGGGCCTCCCGACCCCCCAAGGCCAAGGCTGGACTATCCCTAGTGAGTTCCTGGCGCCCGAGCCGTCTCTGTCTTCCTCCACAGGTGGCTGTTCTGAGTGTCACAGAGCAGACAGTGTCCTCGATCCCAGCTCCCCCTGAGGACTCTGCCCTGCTTTGGGGATCCCCAGCTACCCAGGGCAGCCCTGGAGGTGGAGACCTGCAGGGTAAGAGGCAAAGCAGGGTACATACCCCCATGCGATAGTTCAAGTGGAAGATGCCCCGTCTGACCCCTCAGGGCCGGCCTTCGTCCTCTCAGCTCTCCAGTGGACCGGACTGGAAGTACCTGAACTCCTGAGCACTGGAGTCCGGGCAGCAAACAGTTCCAATTCAGGGAGGAGGGTCTGGGATCTTCCCTCCCAGGCCCAGCAGGGATGCTGATGCCTGCTTAACTGCTCCAGGGTTTACTAGGAGCCAGTGGGAACGGGAGGGGGTGCACAACTACCTCAGGATAGTCAGGGCTGTCTGAGGGACCAGCTCGGGTGGGGGTCAAATGCAACCCCAGAGCTGCCAAGTTCATGTTCTTTACTCTGCAGACAGAGTTGATCCTTGGGAGCTGCCTGGGCCCACGGGCCCCAAGGGGGACACTGGCAGCCAGGGCTCAGTGAGGATGAGAGGCCCACCAGGTACGTGCCCACGGGGCTGCCTTCCAAGCTTCTTTTTTGTTTTGTATTGTATTGTATTGTTGTATTGTATTGTATTGGTTGGTTGGATGTTTGTTTGTTTGCTTGTTGTTGTTGCTGTTGTTGTTTGCTGTTGCTTTCGTTGTTTGAGACGGGGTCTCCCTATGCAGCTTTGGCTGGCCTGGAGCTTGCTATGTAGACCAGGCTGGACTTGAACTCATGGAGATCCACCTTTCTCGGCTTCCCAAGTGGTAGGATTAAAGGCGTGTGCCCCCACAGCTGGCTCTCTTCAGCTTTTTTAGGCATGCCTCCTGCCAGGGGACGCAGAGGATGCTTTCATTGGCATAGTCAAGGTGGACAGGCCCGGTCCACTTACCGGGCCTTTGCTCACCAGCCCTGCAGTGGTGCCCGTTCATGCCTGGGCTGTGAAACTGTCTTGGTCCACTTGGCTCAGGCACTCCCTTCAGCAGACCCTGAACTGGGCACTGGGTGGGACCAGCCCAGTCTTTGCCTCCAGGATGGGGGATAGCTAGGCCAATGAGAAACAACGGTGCCTGACCCCTCTGACCAGGTTCTGTGGAGTACTCTGAGAGGTCTGGGAGCCCTATAGAAGGAAGCCCAGAACAGCTTGGCTGAGCTCGAGGGCACGATACTGTGTTCTTCCCTGTAACAGATGGCACTTCGGAGCCTTTGGAACCTGCTGCCCCAGACTTCTTTGTCCCTGACTACCCTATGCCCACCAATCCCTGTTCTTAACCGCAGGTCCACAGGGACCCCCAGGACGCCCTGGCCAGACCGGGGCTTCAGGCATCCCTGGAGAGATGGGCCCTCCAGGCCCTCCAGGCCCTCCTGGGCCCCCAGGACCTCCAGCCCCTGCTGGGCCACCCCATGCCCACATCTCCCTACATGGTAAGTCCTCCCTGGGGTCCCGGTGGGTTGAGGCGGGGTAACTGAAGTAGCCATAACCCTGGTACCTGTTACCATCTATCATGTGACATCTATCATGTGACAGCGTGGGCCGGGCTTGTCACCCTGTTGTTCAGCAGGTGCTGCCAATCACAAAGGAAGGTCACGTGCCACGTCCACACCCCGGGGAGAGGGGGAGGGGTTTCCCACCACACGCTCAGAAACACCTGGCATTAGACCCTCCCCGTGCCTCTGAGCTGGCTGCAGTCCAGCACTCAGAGTGCCGGGGAGCTCACCATCTAACTCAAGACGTGAGCTCTGAGCTCCCAAGGCCACAGCCCTAGTCCTGTTGTTCAGGGTGGCTCCAGTCCCCTCCCCCAGCCGAGCACCAGCATGGATCCCAGGCATCTCCTGCAGGTAGCCGGGCCTGACCTACCCATGGCCTGACCCACCCACACGCTGCCGGAGATTGGAGCGGTTGGAGAGCACAGTGGCAATTTCAACCTCAACCGCATTGTTTTTATTTATAGTGCTTTTTTTTAAAGATTTATTTGTTTATTATGTATACATGTTCTGCTTGCATGTATCCCTTTAGGCCAAAAGAGGGAGCCAGATCTCGTTACAGATGGTTGTGAGCCACCATGTGGTTGCTGGGAATTGAACTCAGGACCTCTGGAAGAACAGCCAGTGCTCTTAACCTCTGAGCCATCTCTCCAGCCCCTATTTATAGTTTTTTAAGACAGGGTTTCTCTGTGTAGCTTTGGAGCCTGTCCTGGTACTCACTTTGTAGCCCAGGCTGTCCTCCAACACACAGAGATCCACCTGCCACTGCCTCCCGAGTGCTGGGATTAAAGGTGTGCGCCCCCACCGCCCGGCTCCCATCTTTGGTGAGTGACTGGGTACCATTCCTTATTCATTTTCTCACCTCATCATTTATTCCGTCCCATCTTTCTTGGTTTTGCTCCTAGCCTTAGTGTCCTTGTTTGTACTGTGCCGATGGCCACAGTGCCTCCCCCCCCCCGGGGGGGGGGGCAGAAATGATCCTCAGTGCATAGCCACCTGAAACACGGTAGACAGTTGGTGAAAGGCTGCTTTCATTCTGATGCTCATCGACAAGGGACGGTACGGGGTCACTATCTAGACTGTGGCAGGGTTAGAGCCAAGGTTCCCTTCCTCTCTGTACCTGGCAGCGGGTACCAGTGACCCTGTCTGTGCTGCAGGCTGTCCCATAGGGCAGCCAGAGCCAAGGCGGCAGAGGTGGCAGGCGGTGACTGACTGTGCCTCTCTCCCAGCTCCACTCACTCTCTTTCCCTTGCCAGGAGATCCATTACTGTCTAATACCTTCACCGAGACTGGCAGCCACTGGCCCCAAGGACCCACTGGGCCCCCAGGCCCTCCGGGCCCCCCAGGGCCCATGGGTAAGTTGAGTCCAGCCTGGGGTAACGGTAGGGGTTGATAGGAAGCAGCAGCACTGAGCCGTGGCCAGCGGGTGGGGAACTTCTTAGCCTCATGGTCTATTCCGTTCCTGAAGACACTCTGTTTTGTTCAGGTCCTCCTGGACTTCCTGGCCCTGCGGGTGCCCCTGGGAGTCCTGGACACATGGTAAGTCATTATCCAAGTTCTACCACCCATGCGTAACTCCATTCACCCATCTGTTCATCCGTCCATTCAGTAAGTACTTTGATATGCAAAGTGCTTTCCATAAATCTTCTTAACTCAATTCACCCAACAAGAAGCATCATTATCCCTTGAGGCGGTGAAAAGGGGGATTCTTCAGGCTGCAGCCGGCACATGGGGTGGGGACGTCTGACCTGCCTGCTATGCGCTGGGCATGCGATGAGGCCTGGGCCAAGCTGGGGCTCCCTCCCTATTCCCTTTACCCCACCTCCTGTCCTACCTACCCCAGCACAAGGCTGAGGCCCTGTCTTGTTGTTCAGGGAACCCCAGGCCCTTCTGGACCCAAAGGAAGCTCTGGCCCCCCGGGGGAGAAGGGTGAGAGGGTGAGTACACTGATGACCTTACGTGGGGGATTCTGGGGAGTCTCAGGGGTCCGAGACGGTAGCTCTCACCAGCTAACTTAATTCTGTTCCCTCCTCTTATATAGGGACTGCCTGGGGAACCTGGCCCCCAAGGGCTAATGGGGTTGCAGGTAAGTGATGCAATCTCCCCCCTACCCACCTCTCCAGGATCCCATCATTCTAGGTTCCTGAACCTGGAGCACCTGACCCCCTGTGTGATTCAGAAAAGCTCCCCTTCATTGCGAGGACCCATCATCCATCCTTTTCAACCTGTCTGACTGTGGCTCTGTATCCATTTCTTTCTCTACATGCCTCTGTCTCTTTGACTCTGTCTTTCTCTTTGGTGGTGGTGTTTTCTTTTTTAGTTTTCCAAGACAGGGTTTCTCTGTGTAGTCCTTGCTGTCCTGGATCTCGCTCTGTAGACCAGGCTGGCCTCAAACTCATAGAGATCCTCCTGCCTCTGGCCCCTGAGTGCTGGGATTAAAGACGTGTGCCACTACCGCCCGGCTTATATTTCTCTTTTTCATTCTCCATCTCTTTTTTTTTTTTTTTTTTTTTTTTGGTTTTTCGAGACAGGGTTTCTCTGTGTAGCTTTGCGCCTTTCCTGGATCTTGCTCTGTAGACCAGGCTGGCCTCGAACTCACAGAGATCCGCCTGCCTCTGCCTCCCGAGTGCTGGGATTAAAGGCGCATTCTCCATCTCTTAATGTAGATTTGTCCTTTTCTCCCTTTAATGTAGCCAATTTTTGCTTTATGTGTTTTGAATCTTTGTTATTAAGCAGATACATGTTCAGGATTTCAGCGCTGCCTCTGCCTTTGTGGAATGAATATTCATATCTCTAGAACACTCATCTTGGATTCTGCTTTGTTGGCTATTAGAGGAACCACACCAGTGCTGTAATGCTTGCTGTCTGTGTATGTCGGTGCCAGCGTATTTAAAGCACATCTCTTGTAAATAACACGAGCCTTGCATTTTTCAGAGTCTGCCGTTTAGTTCATTGATATTTTCATCATCTGTATAATTATCATCAGGGTTCTGTTTAAGTCAGCCATCTGCAGTTGGTGTCTGTTTATCTGCTCTTTTCCCTGTTCCTTTTCTTGCCTTCTTCTGTAGTTAGTTATCGATCCGCTTCTGAGCCACGTCCTCACTCGCCTTCCTCAGGATAGAGCACTTTGGGGTCCATTGCGCCCACTGATAGCTTTTTACCAGTCCCCCCCTTTTTTTGGCAATCCCTATTTCTGTTGGTTTTTTCACAGTTGCTAAGAACAACATTGTCCTTCCTTCCTCACGTCACATGATTAACTTATGCTTCAGTGTTAAAGCAGTTGTGTGTGTGTGTGTGTGTGTGTGTGTGTCACAGACTCGTGTAGGTGCATTGAATGTGTGTTCCATTTCCATCCTCTCCTGTGCTGTCGCTGCTCTGTATTCTACTTCTGCATTTGCTATAAGCCCCCCAACACTGTTTTGAGAGTGCTGAGAATTGACCCAGAGCATTGAGCAGATCCGCTAGCAAGTGATCTATCAGGAAGCTACATCCTCAGACCCATATCGTCGTCGTCGTCATCATCACTTTAAAGTCAGCTGGCATTAAAAACAAAATAAGGCCGGGCGGTGGTGGTGCATGCATTTAATCCCAGCACTCAGGAGGCAGAGCAGGCACATCTCTGTGAGTTTGAGGCCAGCCTGGTCTACAGAGTGAGTTCCAGGACAGCCAAGGCTACACAGAGAAACCCTGTCTTCAAAACAAAACAAAACAAAACAAAACAAAACACAAATTTAGACACTGCACACTCTGCAGCTATAGTTTGAAAAATTGTGGTTTGAAAATATTACCAAAAACAAAAAAAAAAAATCCCTGAGCCCATATTGACCATGTACGGATTTTTAAAATCATTATTCATTTTTTTCTGGTTACTAGGGATCAAATCCAGAGCCTTGCACATGCTACGAAAGCACTCTTATCACTGTATTACATCCCTAACCTCTTTTTTATTAAGATTTATTTTTATTTTTGTGTATCTCTGTGTGAGTGTATCCCATTGGTGGTGGGGGGATCCTTTGAGGTCAGAAGAGGGTGTCATATGTCCTGGAGATGGGGGTACAGGTAGCTGTGAGCCACCCAACATGGGTACTGAGACCTGAACTCAGGACCTCTGGAAGAGTAGCAAGTGCTCTTAACCACTGAGCCATCTCTGCACCCCCACTCTACCCCCATTTTGAGACAGGGTCTGACTAAATTGCTTATACAGGCCCAGGTTCAAGAGCTTGTAATCTTCCTGCTTCTGCCCTTGAGTAGCAAGGATTCCACACCTGTGCCATCAGGCTCGGTTCTTATTAGTTCTTAAGCGGTACAGTAGCAACTGTTACAGAACATTTACATTGGTATCCTAAAGGAGCTAGAGGCAGATGAACTCTTCTCTATACACCTACAGGTTCCATACAAAGACTAAGCCTTTTATTGGGGGATTTGAACACCTGTGGATTTTGGTACCCACAGGAGAATGAATTCCACACGAACACAGAGGGATGGCTTGTAGTTCTAAATTTGCTGATCATGTATCATTTCTTTTTTTCTTTTTCTTTTTCTTTTTTTTTTTTTTTTTTTGGAGCTGGGATTACAGCCTTGTACCACCAAGGTTTTTTAAAATTAATTTGTTTTGTGTGCATAAATGTTTCTCCTGACTGCACGTCTGTGCACCCTGTGCCTGTGGAGGTCAGAGGAGAGAGAGCATTGTATCCCATGGAACTGGAGTTATAGATGTTTGTGAGCCACCAGTGGATTCTGGGAACTGAATCTGGGTTCTCAGTACTCTTAACTACTGAGCCATCTCTTCAGCCCCAGTTCTTTAAATTTTGATCTTTTAATTTTTAATCTTCTGTGTATTGTGTGTATGTGTGTGCACATGCATGGAGGCCAGAGGTCAATATTAGGTGCCTTCTACTACTTCCTGTTTCATTCGTTCATTCATTCACTTACTCATTCATTCATTCGCTTGTTTTTTAGACAGGTCTCTCATTGAGCCCGAACTCACCTATTCAGCAAAGCTCAGGCTCTTCCTGTCTCTGCATTCCAGTTCTAGGCATGCAGATATAAGCCGCTATGCCCAGCTTTTTATGTGGTGCTGGGAGTCTGAACTCAGCAAGCATCTTATTGGATCCTTTAAAAAAAAATTTAGATTTATTTTATTTTATGTGTATATGTTATTTTTCTGCATACGTGTGTTTGTGCACCACACCTGGGTTCCTGCAGAGGTCAAAGGAGGTCACTGAATCCCCAGGAACTGGAGTTCTGGATGGTGGGGAGCCACCATGTGGGCGCTGGGAACCCGACCTAAGAGTGCTCTGGAGGAGAGACCAATGGTCTCAACTGCTGAGCTAACTCTCCAGCCCCTAGCTGGCCTCTTAAGCTTGCTTTATTTATTTATTTATTTATTTATTTATTATCATGTCTTTCTATTTAATGTGAGCATCTGCTTGAGTGCTTAGTTTGTGAGGTTTGTTGGGTTTTTGTTTTGCTTTATGGTCCTACAACCTGCCGAATGCATCCATTTCTGTTGGAGGCAAACCACAAACTTAGGATCTACAGAGACAAGGTTTCTCTGTGTAGCAGTCCTGGCTGTCCAGGAACTCGGTCAGTAGACCAGGCTGGCCTTGAACTCCAAGATCCATCTGCCTCTACCTCCCAAGTGCTGGGATTAAAGGTGTGTGCCACCACTGCCTGGCAATAAATGTTGTTTTTTATAGCACCCAGGACTAGGAGCCCAGGGCTGGCACTGCCCATAGTGAGCAGATGTGGGTCCTCCCAAATCAATCACTAATTAAGAACATGCCATGCAGACTTCCCTACAGGCTGATCTGGCAGGGGCATTTTCTCAGTTCAGGCTCACTCTTCCCAAGGGACGCTAGCCTGTGTCAAGTTGACATAAAAACTAGCCAGCACATACACCATTGATATTTAAGGGGTTGTAGACAGTGTTGGGTTGGTGTCTGCCATATGTGTTACTGTTTTCTACTTGATCACCCCATTTCTATTTTACTCCTACATAATTCTTCTACTGTGTGTGTGTGTGCGCGCGCACATGTGTGCTGGTATGCATGCACATGCTTATATGTGTGTGTGGAGGCCCAGGCTGACACCAAGTGTCTTCCTCAGTCACTCTCCACCTTTGAGACAGGCTCTCTCACAGAACCTGGAGCTCACCGGTTCAGCTAGACTGGGTGGCCATCAAGACCCCAGGATCCTCTTGCCTCGGCCTCCCCTCTCTTCCCGAGTGCTGGGATCACAGGAACACACTCCTGTGCACCCAGCTTTGTACACACCTGGCTTTGTACCTAGGTACTAGGGGTCCACACTCAGCTCCCATGCTTATGTGGCAGACACTCACTGACTGAGCTGTCCCCACAGCCCGTCTCTGCCTTTTCATCCTTTGTTTTTACTTTATTTATTTACTCACTTATTTATTATGTGTACAGTATTCTGCCTGCATGTGTCCCTATAGGCCAGAAGAGGGCACCAGATCTCATTACAAGTGGTTGTGAGCCACCATGTGGTTGCTGGGAATTGAACTCAGGACCTCTGGAAGAGCAGTTGGTGCTCTTAACCACTGAGCCATTCCTCCAGCCTTGTTTTTACTTTTATTTGCATTTACATTATGCTGAATTTATCCACATCTCTTAAATTTTGTTTCTTTAGTTTCTTCTGGGACATTTTCCTTCTGGACAACCTCCTTTCTTGCTGAGGAATCGTGCCTTCCTCTTTAATGGGATCATCTGTCTCAGTGGGGCTGAGCGGGGTAGGGACTGGCTAGTCACACCATGAGCAGGTAGTTGGTACACTGTTCACCTGGATGTGGTCACTGACCCTTCAGTTCAGTGTGATTGCATTTTTAAAGCATGTGTAACTAAACTTTAACACTCTTTTCAAAGCTAGTGATCCAGTGTCCGGCCCCACTGTTTGTCCTGGGCTCACCCAACATTGTCTAATGCCCCTGGAATGGCCCACACTGCTTCTGTAAAGTGACATCTTCCAGATACTTGGAGACCATGTATACAGTCTCACCGTGTCCTTAAGATGAACATAAAGATTGGAACCTCTTGGTTTGCATGGTTTTATGGAGTTTCTGGGTCAACTGAGTAGGGAACCATTTTCATGGGTTGCCTCAGGCCACTTGCAGAAAGAGGAAGCCCTTCATGCATGGAAGCCAAGCTGTCTACCAACTGAGTGACACCGCACCCTACCCTTCTGTGATTTAAACTGCGTACTCTATATGACTGGGGGATTGTTTGTTTTTGGTTTAGAGAGAGGGTATCATGCAGCCCTGGCTGGCCTGTGACTTGATACTTGGATCTGGCTGCCCCCAAACCCATAGAGATCCACCTGCCTCTGCCTCCTGAGTGCTGGACCTAAAGGCTTGTTCCACCACACACACCTCCACCCCACACTTTATATGACTTTAATAAATAAATTATATTTTTTGAGACAGTTTAGTGTATCACAGGTTGGTCTTGAACTCACCATGTAGCTGAGTGTATTATTAGTCAGGGTTCTCTAGAGTAACAGAATTTATATAATGATTATATATAGAAAGGGATTTAGAATGACTTACAGGCTATGGTCCAGCTAATCCAACAGTGACTGCCTGTGTCCAAGAATCCAGTAGTTGTTCAGTCCACGAGGCTGAATGTCTCAGCTAGTCTTCAGTATACTCTGGAATCCTGAAGCAGGCTCTAATGCCAGTGAAGGAATGGACTTGCTATCGAGGGCGAGAGCAAACAGGCAGAGACGCTGAGACTTCCTTCTTCCATGTCCTTTATATAGGCTTTCAGCAGAAAGTGTGTCTCAGATTAGAGGTGGGTCTTCCCACCTCAAAAGATCTGGATTAAAGGTGTGTCTCTCTGGGCTGGAGAGATGGCTCAGCGGTCAAGATCACTGGCTGCTCTTCCAGAGGACCCAGGTTCTATTCCCTGTCCCCACATCCATATATATAAAATAAATAATATTTAAAAATAAATTTTCCTGCCAGGCAGTAGTGGCGCATGCCACCATACTCTTTAAAAAAATTTTTTTTTTTTTTTTTTTTTTTTTTTGTTTTTCGAGACAGGGTTTCTCTGTGTGGCTTTGCGCCTTTCCTGGAACTCACTCTGTAGCCCAGGCTGGCCTCAAACTCACAGAGATCTGCCTGGCTCTGCCTCCCAGTGCTGGGATTAAAGGTGTGCACCACCGCCGCCCGGCAGAGGCAGGCGGATCTCTGTGAGTTCGAGGCCAGCCTGGGCTACCAAGTGAGTTCCAGGAAAGGCGCAAAGCCACACAGAGAAACCCTGTCTCGAAAAACAAAAAAAAGAAAAAAAAATTTTTTTAATTTAAATTTTTTATTTTCTTTACTATTATGTGTGTGTTTGATGGGCGGGGGGCATGTGTGGAACAGGACAGGTTTCAGAAGTCATCTCTCTCCTTCCACTGTGGGTTCCAGGAATTGAACCACCAAGGCTCTCTGGCTTGCTCAGGTTCACTGAATCATCTGGATGGTCCAAAATATCTGTCATAGATATTTTATTAATTTTTTAGATTTCATTTTATGTGTATGAATGTGTTTGTGCACCACATGCATGCCTACTGCCTGCAGAGGTCAGAAGAGGGTGTCAGATCCCCTGGGACTGGAGTTACAAATGGTTGTGATCCACCATGTGGATGCTGGGAATTGAACCCAGGTCCTCTGCAAAAGCAACAAGTGCCCCTTACCTCCCAGCCACCTCTCTAACCCTTGTCATGGATATTTTAAATACCTTGTCTCCTACTTACAACACCTAGTTAGCTAGGGATCTGTTTCTGTTGACTGATTTTTCTCTTAAATGTGCATCGCATTGTCTGTTTTTTCATATAGCTAGCGACTTTCATATGCTTTATTGGACAAGAGAGGTAATGTCTGAGGAACTCTGTTCTGTTATTTGCTTGAGAAGTGCTGAGTGCCCCAAGACAGCTAGATTACAGACCTCACTTTACTCTTTCAGGAACTGAGCTTTATCACAGAAAATCCGCTTTGGGTTTGTTCTTGGTCCTAGCCCTGGTGTGTGTTCTTTAGCTTAAGGCCTGAATTTTATGTGATTTCACGACAAAGCATTGGGTGTTTCCAAACTCTGTCTCCTATGTGATGGAAGTTATGAAAATCTGTGCTCAGTTCTACCAACCTGTTGTTTCTTCCCTGGGAGAAACCTCCCTCCCCCCAGGATCAAACCCAGTGTCTCACTTATGCTGGACAGCTGCTCCACCACGCCATCCTTCTGAGTTGTGAGTTTTTCTCCCTCACGCCCCCACCCCACCCTTACCTCTGACGCTCCTTTCAGGGAGAACCTGGCCCCAAAGGAGACCCTGGAGAGAAGATCCACTGGGTGAGCTGCAGCCCTCCCCTGCCTCCCCTGCCCTCCCCCTGCTCTCCCCCTGCCCTCCCCCTGCCCTCCCCTGCCCTCCCCCTGCCCTCCCCTGCCTCCCCTGCCCTCCTCTGCCTCCCCCTGCCTCTCCCCACCTCCTACCTTCCCCTGCCTCCATCTGCCTCCTCTGCCCCCACCTGCCTTCCCTGTCCTCCCCTGCCTCTCCCTGCCCTCCCCCCCGCCTCCCCTGCCCTCCCCTGCTTCTCTCTGTCTCCCCATCCCCCCTGCCCTCCTTTATCTCCCCCTCCCCTCCCCCTTCCCCCTGCCTCCCGTCCCCTGGGTGCTCAGGAAAGAATTCTCTCACCAGTAGATCCTGGGGTTGAGGGTGTCCTCGTCACATACTTACAGGAGCCCTGCTCCATTCCTCTCCTGGCACTCACCCCTAGGCAGGGCCAGCCCTCCCAGCAGACCCCACCCACGCTCTGTCTCTGTCTTCACCCACTTACCCTCTGTAGCCTTTCCAAGCCAAGATGACTCTGCCTGTTTCTGCTGGGCAGTTTAGGTGACCCAGTCTGCAGCTCCGCTTCCAGGGTCCCTCCTGCAAAGGCTTTGGCTTTGTCCTATTGTCTACAGAAAAGGCACATGAAGACAGTATCCACCCAAAGCAGAAAAGGGACCTTAGGAAAGTCAGGGAACAAAGAAGGGAAGCACAGGGGGTCCATGGAATAAAGGGCTGGGCGCCTAGAAACCGACATACACATAGAGACTCCAGGAAGCTTGGGAAGCGGAACCTTGAAACCATTATGTATACGTTCGACATGGTTAATGAGGTCAGGAGAGCTAACTCTGTTGTCCCCAAAAGATCTGTGTAGGTACTATCACACACTTCAAGCAGTCCACAAGGGAAGCCTAGAAACTGTCATATGCACAGAGAACCACGGAAAATGAGATGAGGTGAGCTAGATACTACCAGCTACAAAGCAAATTGTAAACAATAGAAAGGGAGGTCTAGAAACTGTCACATGCATAGACATTGAGTAAATGGGAAGAGAAACCTAGAAACTTACACACTCAGAAATCTCGAGATGCCTGTGAGGTCCTGGGAAGCTTCAAGGTCATTGGAGATAACTAATGAACAGATTTGGGGCCTGAGAATCTACTCTGCCCAAGACGCAAGGGCCTAGAACAAGCCATGCCCTGAAGTGTCATGATCCCACACCTGGCAACTGTTGCTGGCATGATTGGAAAATAGGTAGGGTTCCAGTAAACATCCCCACAAGAAAGAGCCTAAGTATTTAGAAAGTAGCATCCTGTCTTCCTGTCGTCCTGAGAGCCATTGGTGAGGGTGTGGCCAGCACCAGCCACGAACCATGTCTTCACTGTTTGTCATGGAGTCAGTGATGGATACAGCCGTGGTAGTCCTCATCCCGCATGAGTGCACCTCCGTGTATCCCATGACTTCTAGGGGCCCTGCTACCTCTCCAAGATGCTTGCTTCCCCGCTCTCCAACTCACTCTTCCACTCCCTGTGGTCCCTGACCTTTGACCCAGCAGGGAGACCCATGGGAGCAACCCTCAGCCTCCCCTCACTCTCCCAGAGACCCTGGGTGAGAAAAGGGGTTTTTTCACCCATCCCAGAAGGTATAGGAAAAACCAGGTCACAACAGAGGCAGGCTGTGCAGTCCCTATCCCTGCATGGGGAGCCTTGGGCCACCCCAGGAGAGAACTTGAACCCAGGACCGCCCATGGGAGGGGCCCCCACGAGGTAGCAGGACCCCCACCTGCCCACCTTCCTCTTTTTACCACCTGCACTTCTGTCCCTGCTTGCTACCTGGGAGAGGCTTCGCTGGGCTGGAGATGCATGAGGCTTCTGGGCTGAGGGACCAGCTCTGTTGGAGGTAGGTAGGGATCCTGGTACACACAGGAGTTTGTGTGTGTGCACATGCATGTGTATACAGTGGAAACATCCTGTGGACACCTACAGACGCATCTCACCTACCAGCGCCCCCTAGGGGTCGTGCAGCTTTCAGAGCTGCTTACCAAGTTTAGCTGCGGCTCAGTAGTGTCACCAGGTGGTCACAGTCATGTACTGCAGGAGCTAGGTGACTACCTAGTTAAAGGGAAGCCCTTATTCAGATAGGGAAACTGAGGCCCAGCTCTTCTGAGCAAGCTGGTGGCAAAGTGGGGCCAGAAGTGAAACGGGCTAAGACATCTAAATCCCCAGAGGGGCTAGGGAGCCCTCTACTATTCCCTAAACTTCTGTATGCCAAGCTCAGGGCTGGGCAGTACAGAGAGATGCTTTGCGGAGTCAGTCCCCAGAAGTCACCATGAGCTGGGGTAAAATACTGTGTCAGCAGCCACAGGACAAAAGGAATTTAGCTGTGTTGGGGGCTGTAGTGTATTGGTGATGACAGGAACATAACCAGTCACGGGGTATTCAGACAGAGAAGCAGGGGCAGTATATGCAAAGGGCCTGGAGTTAGAGTGAGTCTGGGATGTTTACAGAGTTGCGAGTACTTGGAGCGGCAGTTTGACAGGCAGGAAGCGAGACAGAGGCTTTCAAAACTTAGGAGGCTATTGGGGACTAAGGGGGTCCAGCCCCTCTATAGTCCCCTTCCAGGGTCCGGGAAGAATCTACAACCAGCTGATAATTAATCTTTGATGAGAAGAAATGAATCTATGTACACGAAACTCCTTAGTTCATAAACTTTATTATTCTGTGTCAGTTACAAGCTTATATTCTGCTCTCATATTTAGGTCTTTTCTTGCCTGATTTCTCTCTACACTTGTCCGCGGTCCGCTCTGGGTTCTATCTTAATTCCTTCATCTTGTTCTGCCCCTTCTAGGTTCTCATCCATCTTGTTCCTTCCCATATCATCTTTTCTCCCATCTCCTTCTCTCTCCTCATCTCGTTCTTCCTCATCTTGTTGTTCCCCATCTGGCTCATCCTCATCTTCCATCTCATTCCTCTAGTCCTCTCTTCTAGCCCTTCAGTCTAGTTCTTCCCCATCTCAGTTTGTTCCTCTCAAGTTCTTACCCATCTAGTTCTTCCATTCTCTTTTCTCTTCTCCGACCCCCTGTGCCCTGAAAGTCCTGGTATATGAAGCCAGGCTTCCAGGGTCAAACGGAGGGGTGATAAGAATCACATAGGGAGGCAATAACCATTAATTATCATTTGCAACCCCAAAGGGAAGTGACCAGTGGGGAAATGAATTAACAAAAGGCTAGATTCAGGTAATATCTAAGAAGAGGGCTCTTATGTGCTCAACTATAATCTTAAACGTGATTGGTAGAAAATGTTAAGAATCTATAAGTTGCTAGGTCAATGGGAGAAAATAAAACTGTCTTCTTTTTTCCTGTGGCTCCTATCTGTCCAAGCTATCTGCCGTTTTTCTACAGGGTGGGGGAAAGTGTGCTCAGTCGCTAGGCAACCTGTGTACAGCTGGATGCCTCTGGTGATAGTTAAAGGGAGATCTGGAACTAGAGGTAAGATTTGGGAAAGGAGGAAGTAAAGCTTAATTGGCACATCCGCCAGGCCTTCTCAAACAGGTAGCCTGGATGGTTAAGTCTGTTCTTAGAGAATACAGAGGTATCTCTGATAAAGTACTCTCCTCCATCTGGGGATGGACCTGGCCGGATGCTGCTAATGATGATAATTACAGGGAGGCTTGAACTGGGGTTCTGGCTAAGCATAGCTGTCAGTGCAGAAGGTTATCTAAATATTCCTAGAAGTGGTTAGGTAAGGAGTTAGCGGTCTATAAAGTTAGTAAGGCTGTAAGAAAGGGGGGTCCGAGCTGAATTGTGTAAAGCTATTACTTAACGTCCACCTGACCTAGGTGGTGTCTCCTTGTGGAATTTACCTTAAATCAGGAGACTTGCATGTGGACTGTTATTACTGCTAGTCCTTGAAAGTGGCCAAGGGAGATATCTGATTCCAGAGAAAGCCTTTCCTGAGGCTGTTCTCCAAATACCTGGAATGTGTATGTCCAGAGAGTGATCAGTGCACATTGTTAGCCCTTCTTAGGGAAAAATCAATTGGGAAAACTATGAAGGCACACATGATTTTCATAATAGAAGACAGCTGATATATAACAAGCCAAGTAACACCAAAAACTCCTTGGGATTTGGCTTCCTCTGGAGGAATTCCCTGATTCTTCCAGGTATTGCCTTTGCCATAACCAGCTGAGTTCTTATAATATATTCCTGCGGCCTGCAGCAGGAGGCCACGGTAAAGAATTCAAACTTTGGTGGACCCTGGGGCATTTGTTTAAGTATTTCTAAACTGGGAGCCAGGCATGGTGGCTCACTTTGTAATCCCAGCATTCAACATTCAGATGGCTGAGGCAGGAGGATGCCCACAAGTTTAAGGCAAACCTGGATTACAGAGTGGGATACTCAAGGATCCCAAAAACAATAAGATTTTTTTTTTTAATTAAAGAGTGAGAGGGAATGGTGTGGTCAGGTTTTTGTTTGCAAAGTATGTCTCTGAATGCCAATATGGAGTATGGATTGGAAACAGAAAAGGAGTCTAGAAGGCTGTGGACATCCTGATCAGGGGGCCGTAAGTGGGAGCATGGACAGGCAGCAAGGCAGACAGTGTGTGTGTGTGTGTGCAGTGTGTGTGTGTGTGTGTGTGTGTGTGTGTGTGTGTGTGTGTGTATGTGTGTATGTGTATGTGTATGTGTGTGTGCATGTGTATACAAGTGTGTGGTTGTGGGTGCCCATATATCATTCTCTGCCCTATTCCCTTGTGAGCTCACTATTTTTCAGCTAGGCTAGCATCCAGCAACCCCCTTTCTCTGTACCTGCCCAGCGCTGAGGTTGTGGGCATTTGGGTGGTTTTTTATGTGAATTTGGGGCTCTAAATTCAGGTCCTTGTTCTTGGTAAGTGCTCTTACCATTGAACTATCTTCTCAGCCCCAGGATCATCCATTTTCACATCCTGCTCCATGTACTCAAACAGGGATTACTTTGGCATGTGACCTAGTACCCCAGTACCCCAGGCTGAAATGGCAGTTCAGTGACCCATGAATAGCTCAATCTTTATGATATTAACAGGACAGCAGGAGCATAAGGAATAGCCCCAGGGAATGAACAAACTCATAATGGACGTGTTGAAGTCCTCTTAGCTGCTTAGATATTCTTATGGGGAACCGCTTCAAAGGGTTGGATAGTAAGCCAGGTGTAGGGGCTCATGTCTGGAATTCCAGCTCATGGGAATTTGAAACAGAATTGGTGTGAGTTTGGGGCTAACCTGGGCTATAGAAATGACATTATATCTCAAAGAAAACAGAACTGCATCCCAGCACTTGGGAGGCAGAGGCAGGCAGATCTCTTGAGTTCGGGGCCAGCCTGGTCTACAGAGTGAGTTCCAGGACAGGCTCCAAAGCTACATGGAGAAACCCTGTCTTGAAAAAAAACAAACAAACAAACAAACAAAAGAGAGAGAGAGAGAGAACTGTTGTGAGTTTGAGGCTAACCTGGGCTACAGAGTGACATATCTCAAAGAAAACAGAAGGCGGGGAGGGAAGGAAGGAAGGAGAAGGATCTGAGAGATAGCAGGCATGAGGACCAGAGTTTGGATCCCCAGGATCCACATAAATGCTGGGTGGGCTTCAAAGCGCACCCCTAATTCCAGAGCTTGGGAGGCAGGAACAGAATTACCAGAGCAAACTCTGGGTTCAGTGGAGAGTTCCTGCCTCAATAAATAGGTGGGGGGAAAACTCTGATGTCAGCTTCTGGCCTCCAGACACATGCACATGCGAGCATGCACACAAATGTGAACACGGTATACATACATGCATACACACACCACACACACGTCACATGAAAAGGGGGGGGGGGGGAAGATGGCTCAGTGGGTAAGAGCACTTGCTGAACAAACAAGAGGACCTGAACCCCGATCCCTGGCACCCACACAGAAGTCGGGCATGGCACGAATGCCTGTAACCCTAGCGTTGTGAACTGGAAACAGGTGGAACTCGATGGCCAGCCAGACTAGCTGAAACGGCACACATTGGGTTCACCGTAAGACCCTGCCTCAAAAATGAAGGTAGAAAACAAACTAAGACGGAGGGCCTGCAGGGGGCTCTGTGGTGAAGGCCTGCCACAAGACTGAAGAAGGGCCTGACTGAGCCTGCGAGGAAAGAACTGATTCATTTCATTTGTTCTCCGATGTCCACACACATGCTGTGACTACAAGTTGACCTATGACCTCAACATGTACACTATGCCATGATCACACACGCACACACACACACACAAAATGTAATCAAAATCTTAAATACAATGGAGAGCGAAGAGGAAGACATTCTCCTCCGGCCTCTGTATGAGTCCTCACGGGCATATATATGCACACACATGTGCATACACACATGCACAAGGAGATGTGTGCATGCTATGCATCCCTTCACTCACCCTATACTAAATGCCGAGAGACTCTTCTAGATGCTGTCAGGCCTGGGATAGTTTGGCCATCCTGGTGCTCTGTTGGGAAACACTCACGTTCTGGAAGTTGTTTAGAGAGGGGACATGAAGTATTGGGTAAGACCATGCACCCTGTGCTCGGGAAGGAGAGAACAAACTGGGGGGCGGGCATCCAAGAGCGCTCTCTAAGTGAGCCTCTGCTTTTGGGGAGTCGGGAACCCTGGGGCTGGGGGGCCTTAGAGAAGGAGCTTGGTGGACCCACTGCCACACCCCTGGGAACACACTGGGAGGGGCTGGGCTGAGGGCTCTCCCCAAGGTGTATCAGAATGTGGGACTGGCACTGGCCGAGAGGGGAACAGTCTCCCCACCCGGAGGGAACCAAGCTGGAGGCTCAGCTCAGCCCCATCTTGGACAACAATGCCATTCAAGCGTTTTGATTTTCACTTACTACTCACTCTGGCGTGAACAGAGTCACTAGCTTGATCGCCCTGATAGAGTTAGTTAGGGGGAGGCTAACGTGATAACTTAAAGAAAAGTCAATCTGAAGAATATGAGTAAAGAGAAAGATTACAAAAATAAGAATTTAAAATGAGGAGAGATAGAGTGGGAGAGAGAGAGAGACAGAGAGAGAGGGAGAGAGAGCTCCCGTAGTACCGGTGGCCCAGGGATGTCACAGGAACTGTGCAGAGGATGGGGGAATGGAGGGGCAAGGTCAAGCTGGCTCCACAGGGCCTGGGAACAAATGGGTGGCAGGCTCTGGGGCAAGCACAGGAATGCTCTCCAGAGTGGCACAACTTGCAGCCAGTTGGGATCCAATGGAACTTTCTGAGGGGGGTCTTCAGGGGTCGCTTCCTCCTGCCTTGCCTTCCTCCCGTCCCTCTCTGTCTTGTTTGGCTGTCCATGGGTCCTGGGCTGTGGTAGGTGGTACAGGGCTACAGGTGCTTGTCCTGGGTGGGGCAGGGGCCACTGGCAAGCTTTGTGGGGTCCCCTCCTGACCCCCCGTCACGGCTGCATCTGTCTCTTTCTCCACAGGGGGAGGGGTTGCACCAACTACGCGAGGCTTTGAAGATTTTAGCTGAGAGGGTTTTAATCTTGGAAACAATGATTGGGCTCTATGGTGAGTAGAGACAGACAGACGGCCAGCCAGCCCAGCCCCTGCTTACCAGCCTCCCCCAAACCCTCCTGGGGTGTAACTGGCCTGAGTCCAGTTCTGAGGCTGAAGAAGCATAGGCTATAGAGGCTACCCAACCCTTCCCCTCTCCACAGGGGAAGGTCCTGCTCCTGGACTCATCCTTGTGCCTCTCTCTAGGCAGTGTGGGTAATGTAGTTTATAGGACTTCAGGAGCTTGGACACAACAGAGTATGAGATTTGCAAGAAGTCATGGGCAATGAAACCAGACTCCTAAGCCACATGTGGTGGCTTATGCTTTTGATTCCAGCACTTGAGAATCAGAGGCAGGAGAATCTCTGTGAGTTCAAGGCCAGCCTGGTCTACAAAATGAGTTCCAGGACAGCCAAGGCCATTTGTTACACAGAGAAACTCTGTCTCGAAAAACAAAACAACAAAAAAGAAAAACCAGACTCCTGATCAGTGAGGGATTGTAGGTAACAGCCAGACTCTAGCCATACTGGGGTCATGGGTCATACAGTCAGAGCCCAAACCCACAGGATTATGGATAAAGGATGTAGACTACTTGGGCTTCAAGTCATGAGCAATGCAGCTAGATCCCGAAGGTGCAGGGAACTGTGGGTGGCAGAGGCAGACTCAGGACCCAGAGAACTCTGGGTAACAGACCACTTGCCAGTTCCGACCAGCTTCCCTATAAACTTCTAGAGACTCTCCCAGGACCTGCCTTCCTGGCCCCAGGTATCCCTCCCACAGTTACCATTGTAGTCCTAGTGTGTCCTGAAGCTCCCTGTCAGGACTCAAGGGAGCCAGATCCGTAGCCTGGCATTCACCCTCCAAGTTCCCATCCACCTGGTTACCTGAGGAGCTAGGCACACCCTCTCCCCGCCTCCCTGAGGTCTGGTGGACACTGGTCCAGACCCCTGCCCTGAAGCCCATCAGCATCTCTCTGCTTTCGTCCCTTGGCTCCCAGCCCAGCCCTTAGAGACCAGACTTGCACCGTCTGCTCTTCTCAATCTCCCATCAGGCTCCTAGCTTACAGAGCTTCCTGCAGCAGCAGGCCCAGCTGGAGCTCCTGGCCAGACGGGTCACCCTGCTGGAAGCCATCATCTGGCCAGGTAATGGCAGGGTGGGCAGGCAGGGGCAAACCCTCCCAGGAAGGGCCTGGGGCAGGCTTGGGCATGAAGAAGATGCCTCCCAGTGCTGGGTCTGGGCCAGAAGACACTGGATCCTTCCATTGATCAAGGAAGTAGAGCCTGGCACAGGGAACTAGCTTTCCTGTTCCGGCAGTCACCTATCGGCACAGGCTCCAGCACGGCCAATAGATGTAGCCCTGCCCTTGTGCATCTTACGGTTGGGGTAGGGGCTGGCACTGGCAGCAAAAGCCAAGAAGAGATGAGTGACAGAGTAGATATGCCTCTGGCCTGCTGGGGACATGGCTCCATGGTAGAGCACTTACCTCGCATGTACAAGTCCTTGGGTTCAGTTGTCACCCTGAGGGAGGGAGACAGTTCGTGAGCGGGACAGTCTAGGAGGGCTTCCTGGAGGTGATGTCTCAGTGAAGACCAGAAGGGCAAGGATCGTAGGTGATTGAACAAGCAGAGGAAGATCAGAGGTTAAGACATCTACAGGGTTTCCTCAAGGTGGAGACTAACACTGAGCAGAACTGGACTGGGAAGGTTCTAGAAGGCTGGTTCAGGCAGCATGAAAGGCAGTTAGGCTTCTGGCTGGGGGTGGGGGCAGTCCCTTCCCCTGCACCTGACTCCTGAGGTGAAGCTAATGAGGCCATACCTGGTGTGGGGAGATGGGGCTGGCCGGGCACAGGTGTGGGTTGCTTCTCATTTGCCCACTGAGAGTCCCTCCCCCCAACTGGCTGTCCTTTGCCCCTTCCAGCCTCTGCCCTGTCTCACAGCCCACATGCACATCCATGCCCAGAGGCCTCCATATTGTGTCCAACCTCCCCTCTTATAAAGCTAAGAACTGAGAGCCTAAGTGCGGAGGAGGTTCAGGGTTAAAACCAGTCCTTGGTTCTACAAAACCAGGAAGCAGCTGCTCAACGCTAGGCTTAGATGGCACTGGGCCCTGCAAAGTAGCGGGGCTCTGGGGAGCTGTCCGTCAGGCACTGTAGAGACTCAAAGGGAGTACCCAGGGATTGGGCCCTTCCGGCTGCACTTCTTGGAAGAGGGGGATCAGAGAAGACACATGGTTGTGCCTGGATGTGAGAGGGACAACCTTGACAGGAAATCTACTGTGAGATAAGATCTAGAGGTTAGCGTGTGTGTTGTCCAAGCCAAGAGTGGTGGCTCCATGCCTAAGATCCCAGCACTGGAAGGCTGAGACCGGAGGATAGCAAATTTGAGGTCAGCCTGGGCTGCTGAGCAAAAGTTTGTCAACAAAACAAAAAAAACACAGTGCCCACAGTCTGTTTCTAATTCCCCACCATTAGCCATGTGGCTTCTCTAAACTCTAGAAACATCGGGGACTATGTTTCAGCAGACCTCACCAGCCTTGTCCTTGCCTGAGGAGGGGAGACCGAAGTCTTGATGGAGACATACGAGCCCCTACCCTGAAGCCTCTTGGCACCTGTTCTCCATCCCCGTTGCTTCCAAATGACCTGAGGGACCACTGGGAACAAAGAGCCAAACTCCAGAGTCTCAGCACTTTGTCAGCCCACCCCCACCCCCCAATATAGTGCAACAGTAGATGGACAGCTAGATAGCATAGAAGAGCTGATTAGGGCCACTGTGACCTGTCCTTAGCTGGCCGTGCTCCTGATAGCCCCCGGATGATGGACACAGGCCATCACAGACCTGGGGAAAGCAAGGCCCCGTTAGTAGCCTACCCCTAAGCAGCGCCTTCCATGGGAAGTGGTCCTCTTCAAGCTTCCAACTGTCTGTCCAAGGAACAGGGAAAGGCTTGGCCAAGTACCAATCCTCAGGCTCTCCCCCACTAGAAAAACAGCCTACCCTGACCTCCTCCCTGGCTTTAGGGGCTACCAAAGGATACTCATGGGCTTCCCGGACCGGAGAGCTCCTTCTTGGGTTTTGAAGGATGTTAGTTTTCTCAGGGGGGCAAGCATACTATGTTTTAGGCTTGGGGTTCAGCTTATATGCAGATCAGGGCATATCTCACCACAACTCCCTTGGTAACTGACTTCAGTCTTTGTTGGTGCCGCCTAGGGCCTCAGAGTCTATCTGGATTTTAGAAATCAGACAACTGGGGCCCTGACGGGTTTCAGTTTCACTGAGGCTGTTCAGGGGCAAACCCTGACTCTCCTAAACCCTTTCCTCCAAATGGTGCTATAACCACGGAAAGAGGAAGTCTCTTCTCTAGCTTCAGTTAACTTGCTCTGAAGTTTGGATGATGCAGAATTCACCTTCACTCCAAGGAAGTCTCAAAATTATCGATTATTTGGGGAGCGCTATCCATATGTGAAACATGTAAACGTGGTGAGTCTGGCCATCCCCATTAGAGATATCAGGCATCAGACGGCCAAGTGCTCTCTTGGGGCTGGGGGCTCAGAGGTCATGGGGAGGCACTAACCAGCCTTCAGTACCCGTCTTCCCCACAGCTCCATCTCTAGGATGTCAGGGTACACTGCTACCTCCCAGGGCGAAGAGTGGGTTTCCCATGTGAATGCCCCCCTAACATAGCCTCTCTCCTATTCCCTCCGGCAGAACCAGAGCTGGGATCCGGGGTAGGCCCTGATGGCACGGGTACCCCCAGCCTCCTTCGAGGCAAGAGGGGAGGACACCCAACCAACTACCAGATCGTGACCCCCAGAAGACGCAACGAGAGGAGCTGAGGATGGTGGTGGCTCTTCCTCCCCCAGCCTGGACTTGGCCAGCTGCCTCCAGAGACTGCCAGTTCCTATTTATTAATATCCTCAGGGACCCCCGTGCCATCTTGGCCTTAGGGATAGGCAGGCAGGTCTCAGTGATGTCAGTCTGTACTTTACAGACTAGGCAGGGGCAGGTCCCGAGGGGAAGCCTACTCCGAAGTCAGGCCTCACTTGCACCTGGTCTATTTCCCTGTGACATGGGGTGAAAAGGCCTTAAAGGGGAGCAGTGGAGGCACAAGGCTTCCAGTGTTCTGACATAGGGCCTAGGACTCTGCCTGGCTCTACAGACATGTCAGGATGGGGGCACAAGTCCCAGTTCCCCTCCTTAAAACCTTGGGGAGTCCCGTTTCCTGGTGCTGATTCCCACCTGAGTCCAGGCTGCTTAATCCCTGACTGAATGGTTGGTGCTCCTTACGTCAGTTCTACCCAAGCCCCCACTCCTCAGTGTCCCAGGTGGGGACGGGATGTGTAGAAGGGACTCCCACTCCAAGTATCTGCTGCAGATGCATGGATTGCTATGTACTGGACAATAAATGTCCCTGCCGGACCCACCCAGTTTGGTCTCTATGTGCTCAGCCGGAGGGTCCACCTAGGCTGAGGATATTAGGACAGGAGCTCGGTGGTCTTAGATACCACAGGTCACCCTCCTGCCATCAGCCACTCATTCACTGCCTGTTCACTCCTTCATCCTCCCTGATGCCAACACAGAAGAGCCAGACATGACAACGGCCACTCAGAGGCCAGGCTGAAAACATCAGCTTTTATTCTTAGAAAGTATCAGAACATGCTGGGGCCCACTCCTGCCCCCAGGGATGCTTTCAAGCTCCCAAGCCCTCAGTAGACTAGGCTAGGACTCAGGCCAGGCCTAAGACCCTCTTCTCTTCTTGGACTATGAGGGCCCAGCGCCCTTGCAGTGGGCAGGACCACTCCTCCCCTCGGTCACCACGGCCTCAGTATCCACCAGGCCTTCAACCAGCAGAGACACTGCACCTTCCACACGTCCTGTAGCTGCCAAGGCTACCGCGGCCTGCTCAGTGGGAAATCCCATGTGCTCCAACTGCTGCAGCCTGTGAGGTGGGGACAAGGAAGAAATGTCAGGGCATGCATGGCTCCCACATCAGAAAGCCGCACCCCTGGCCACCCTGCCTTACCGTAGAGAAGACACGGAGGCCTTGGGCAACCACACGGAGCTCTGGGGACCATGCACTGATGCATCAAGGAGCGAAGCCTGGATCCCTTCCTGTAGCATTTGCTCATCCAGGGCTGCCCACATCGGGCTTCCTGGAGCAAAGCTGGACGCAGCCCAGTCTGAGCCCCTCTCTGAGACCTCCCGTGTCAGCTGCACAGGCCCTAGGCCTGGTGGAAGCTGGGCAGAGCCATCACTGTGAGACCAGGAGCTTGGGGAAGCAAGGTAAGGAGATCCAGGGGTGGCAGGCCTGTAGGGACAGAGGTGGATGGCCTGGGCTGCCAGCCACTGTCACAACTTCCACCATCCAATGCTGAGCCCCTGGTATCATCCTCACCTCACTCCAGCAGGAAAAGTGACAGGCAGTTCAGCCAGGCTGCCTGGGGTGGGAAGGAGCCTCAGTGGCCAGCACCGGGCCAGAGTCCTGCAAAGGACACTGTCCTGTAACACCTGCAGTCTCCGCTCGGAGAGCTCCAGCCACCGGAAGGCCCCAGCAGCATCTGCCTGCCCAGGGCAGGGCGCAGGTCAAGGAAACCAAACTGAACTGGGGGGAGGGGAATGTACCATGTGTCTCCTTGCTACACTCCCCAGGACCACCTGAGCAGCTGAAGCTGAGAACGAAAGGGAACTGCCTACCTGAAACCACTCAGCCAGCACAGAAGACCGTATGTGCCTTCCCCACACCCTGCTTTCCACTCTGCTGGCCAGTGCATAACATAACCCTGTGTGCCTGAAGACAGATCCCCCTGGGGTCAGCCAGACTTGAGTAGCTGGTGTCTGCATTCTGAAACGGTCCCCTGTGACTGCCTGAAGGGTTCTATGGTCAGCCTGTTTTCCCATATCTTGGGAGCAAAGCTTATGTTGAAGATACCTGTACCATGGGCCCTAACTTGGTCCTCTGTTCCCGGAGAGCCCCAGGCTCGCTCCCACCCCGAGCCTTCCTCTTTGCTAATCTTAGCTTTGATGCCTCCTTCACACATGATCCAGGTTAGTGACTTCTAGGGTCCCTTCAGCTCTCCCAAACATCCTATGGGTCCTTTGATTGTAACTGACACCTCCCCTTGGCCATGAGCTCTGTCCCCAGCCCAGAGCATGGCTCAGAGGAAGATGTGTCACCAGACACTGCTTGGGCATGGATTCCCTATGCCATTTCTTTCCAAGGCACCCCAGAGGCCCAGCCACAGGTCCACATGGTCCCTGGGCTCAGGCAAAGGATACAGGCTAGGCCAGCAAGAAGGCCACAAAGGAGCTGCAGGAAGGGCGGCTCAGAGCTGAGTAGCAGGGTCAGGGCCAGCAGCAGCCATGGGAGCAGCCATGGTGGCAGTGTCCCCTGAGGCCACCCAGGGTAGTAACTCTGCCTTGCCAGCATGGCCAGATGGACAGGCATATATCCACAACCTCCAGCTGCACTGGACACCCCGAGGCCTGTCAGCAGCACAGCCAGCAGCCCGGCAGCCAGGGCAAGCAGGGCCGAGTTGTGCAGGAAGCGCAGAGTGCCCAAATGGCACTCCTGCCACCAGCCCAGAGTGGGCAGGAGCAGCAGGCTCAGGAGCAGGCCCGGCAGAGCAGTGTGGCCCAGAGCATGGGTCACTAGCCGGTGCACTGGGAACGAGAAGGGGGCCAGGTTAGAGGGATGGATTAGCCTTTCCGAGGGCCACCTGGCAGGCCAGCCTCCCCAACCCAGAAGCCAGTATGGGAACTACCACCACTCATCACTGGTAGAGGGGACCAGAGGCTTCTCAACACCCCAGCTACTCTACCAACATGCAGTCTTCTCACTAGCAACCAGCTGCCGAGGGCTGCCGTGTCCCAGGCACAGGGCAGCTGTCTGTCAGTTCCCACATCTTTGTCGCATCTGGTTAGTAGCACACATTCTAATGAAACCACCTGCTAGAACCTTGCACTCCCACAGAGCTACAGGACCTTGGGAAAATCGCTTCCCCTCTCTAAACACCATTTGGGTTCCTCAGCTGTAAACTGGAGGTTTTGTGGGAAGTACATGTTTGGCGGAAATTTTTAGTTCTTATTTCCAGGGAAAGCTGTCAGCAAGGGATGCTATGAGAACTCTTCCTACCCACAGCTTCCCACCCCACCCTCTGTGCCTTCCTCAGGACCCTCTGCCCTCCTGGACTGTGGGTGAGCTGGGCATGTCTGCAGGAGAACGTGCCCTGGGACACTGTGTCCTAGCCTCGTGACCACCACAAGGTGCACGCTAACTCCACTGACAGGCCTCAGGCACTAGAGAAAGTCTCTAGCTTCCCTCAAGGATCATGCAGCTGGTCCTCACCCTGCCAGGGGTCCAGCAGCAGCTCTGGAGCCAATGTGAGGCTGGGGCCAGCCCCCAGTAACCACAGGCAGCTCATCAGGAGCATCAGGACTGAGGAGGCCAGGGGCAGTGCCCGGGACAGTGAGCCAGGAGAATCCCGGGCATGCATAGTTTGGTTGATGGTAGTCAAAGGTGGTCCTGAGGCTGTGCGCTGGGAATAAACAAAAAGAGTAACAAATTATTCTTGCTGCTTTTATGTGACTCCCTCTCAACTACTTTACAGAGGCAGAAACTGAACCAGCAGAGGCAGGTCCAGTAGCTTGGCCAAAGTGGGCTCAAGTCCCAGCCTGTGTGCTTATTAGCCATGTTCCTATCCTACCTGCCCATGTGTCTGGGATGGGCAGGGGCCATGCATAAAGTCCTGATGAGGCCAGTGTGGTAGTGCACACCTGTGATCTTAGCACTCAGGAGGTGGTGGCAAGAGGATCAGGAATACAGGTCATTAGAGATGCAGACCAGGGAGAGTGCTTACCTAGCATACATGGGCACCTGGATTTGCTCCCCAGTGCTGTAAAAAGAAAAAAAATAAAAATTTAGGTCTTGGCTATATACTGAGAGAAAAAAACAGCCTGGGTGACGAGACCCAGTTTCAAAGAGTCTGGTGGACCCTGAAGAGGAGTCTTAGTGGGAGATACAGGGCCAAAAAAGTTGAACTGTGGCCCTTCACTGCCAAAAGGATGGGTCCATTCCCCCGGGAGTGGCAAGGTCAAGGCCAGCTCTAGTCTCCCGCTTGCCTCCCTCTGTTCTAGTGTCCAAGCCTCAGGGAGCCCAGATGGCTCAGGTGCCCTTGAACAAGGGGCATCACGAGGCCCACCAATGGGATGGGCAGCTGTGGGGAACCCCACAGTCCAAGCCGTACAGAGTGATTCAGAACTGTGGCACTATTTCCTCCCCAGCCCTGGCCCTGGCCCTAGAGTCTGCTCCAGCCTTCTGCTGTGTGTCCGTGGGCAAGTTTCCCAACCTGGGGAACGGTGACTAAGACACGTTTTGCTTACAGGATCATATAAGAAAGGAAAAGAAGCCGGGCGGTGGTGGCGCACGCCTTTAATCCCAGCACTCGGGAGGCAGAGCCAGGCGGATCTCTGTGAGTTCGAGGCCAGCCTGGGCTATAGAGTGAGTTCCAGGAAAAGGCGCAAAGCTACACAGAGAAACCCTGTCTCGAAAAACCAAAAAAAAAAAAAAAAAAAAAAGAAAAAGAAAGGAAAAGATTCGAGGCCCACAGCTTTCTCATCTTTAAAGTTTTGTTTATCTTAAACAAAGTCTCAACATGGAACCCAAGCTAGCCTGCAATGTGAGATTCTCCTGTGTCTGCGCAGGCTTTGAGTACTGGGTCACAAATCTGCACCACCGCACCTGGTTTGGGCCCCAGCTCTTTCTCAATAACCCCCCAGCACCACCTCATTACTTAAGGGAGGCACAGAGATCACAAATGAAGGACCTGTTGGTCCAAGCTCCAGTGGGGGTGGGGGCAAGCAGCAAAGCTTTTCTCCAGTTAGGTTTCAACCCCGGGCAAATGACTGGGCCTATTTAACATATCAAAGCGGACACTGGTGTCAGGTTCTCTCCGCAATCTTCCGGTCCTTACCTGTAACAGGGCCCTCCTGGCTGGCATACCCCTCCCCCTCCCCTGCACTTCTCCAGCCCAGGGGGCTGGGCTGCTAGTCCCTCTATAGTCCAGCCGTTTTGGTTACCCACTCTCTCTGTATGTTGGGCCTTCTGGCGCCTCTCCCTTCTCCTCCCCGTCTCCCCACATGGCCCAGCTCAGGGTCATGGCCACTCTGGGAGCAGTCACGTTTCCTTTTTCTTTCTCTCCCTCACCTTCCTCGCACCCGGACTTTCCTGCAGGCTGTGTTATCACTCTTGAGCAGTCCTCTCCAGTCTCCTACTGGGATGACTCAGTCAGCTTCCTTGCCAAGGCCCTCCCTTGCACCTGCCAGTTTCCTAAAGGGAAAATGTGCAGACCTCCTCTGCCTGCAGCGTCCTTTCCTCCAGCCTCTCAACAGGCAGTCTCCTACTCTCTGAAGCCCAGCTCCAATGTCCCCTTCCCACACCAGGAGTCTTAGCCTAAGGCGTAAAGTTTGACCTTTCTCCCATGTGGTTTGAACTAATGGAGGAAGGAGGCTCCCTCTCATCTCCAGGTTCCCCAGGATACTACTCTTTGCACATATTCAAGGCATTGTATGTGTTCATTCAAAGATTAGCTTGGCCCCAGGTCCTGCTGGGTTGAACCCTGCCCTTCACCTGTGGTACTGGGTTTAGAAAAGCAGGTAGATTTCACCCTTACCTGGAGGCAGGGTCACCTAAACTGAAGCTTCCACTTGCACCTTCTCACAACTATTCCATCCCTGAGCACTAAGGGACTGGTCCACGGACATACAGAACTGGGCCTCGAGTCCTCTCAATCAGTCTCTTCTCTTTCTTGGTGTTGAAAATGGAAACCAGGGCCTCACACATCCTAAGCAAGCAGTATCATTGAGTCTCTGTCTCCAACCGTATCTTCAACTAATAAAATGGAACTTGTAAGAATTAAGTCGTGGATCCCGCTGCTGGTCCTAGAACACAAGACATGTATGGCAGCGTTTCCCTTTCAGATTCCGACGGGCACCCTACTGAGCACTGTGAGTCCCCGGGTGCCTGGATCTCTCACCTGAGGAAGGGACTTTACATCAAATGGGAAGCTGGCCATACACCCTGCTCCCCACTCCCTTCCCTGCCTCCCGCCGGGGAGCTGGAGAGCCTGGCTTTAAGCTTCGGCGGGGAAACCACTCCCATCCTTAGAAAGGTGCGGCACGCCTACTTCTTCTCCCACATGGGCTCTCGCTTCTGCTCAGTCCGCGCCCGCCATGCTACTGTTTGTCTGAGACTAGTCTGTCCGTGTGTTAGGAACTCTTAAAAAAAAAACTCCTCACTCGCAAACAGTCCGCCTCAGTGTCCCTCTGGAACCCTCGTCAGAGACCTCTCAGGGTTATGCACCATCACACCCTGCCTACCTTACTGGGAAGCCAGGAGGACAGACTGGGAAGTCAAGGGCAGGGAAGATGCTTCCGGGTGGTGCACAGAGGGGGAGTCCCGGGGTCTGGGTCGAATTCAGCTTTCTAACTTTGGGGAAAGTACTCAATTGCTTGAGCCTGGGGTTTCTTTTCTGTTAAAGCAAGGGTATTGGATGAAGGAGGACTACAGGGCTTCTCAACTCCGACCGTTATTGGGGCCGGACGCGGCATTCCCGGCCTCCCTCCCCAGCCGACCGGCCGACCGGCCGACCGACCTCAGTCCCCTCCCCCGCCCTCTCGGGCCACGCGTCCAAGGTCCTGAGAAGCACGTCCCCCCCCCTACCCTGGAGGAGCGGGTGGGGGGGGCCCGGGGGGGCCCCGCCTGGGAGTCGGGCCGCCAGCTCCAGGCCGAGACCTAGGCGCCTCAAACCCACTGCGCGCACACACGGGCGCGTGATCCCGCCCGCCGATTAGTCAGCAGTTGTTCCAGGCCGGGATCCCTTCCCCCAGCCCTCCCGCCAGCCTCCGTCTCCCTCCAGGACAGACTCTTCAGAGACGGTCCCTAGAGCCAGCGGGCGCAACCATTCCAAACCACCGGGCCTCGTGCAGGGGATCCCTCGGGTGGGTGGGTGACACTCGCTTCCTAGCGCGCTGGCCCCTGAGGGTGCCTTCTTAACCCGCGCGTCACGTCTGGCTCTTCAGAGAGGATTGGGTCAACGGTTTCTGCACCGAAGAACCAGATATCCCTGGCTCAAACCTCCTTGCCCACCCCCGTGGCCTGGCCCGATGGTAGCGTCCGAGGTTGCGGGTTTCGCGCCTGCGCAGTGCGGCGCCTAGGGGGACCGCGAGAGGGAGACGGACGTTGAGAGAACGAGGAGGAAGGAGAGAAAATGGCGTCCACGGGTAAGTGGAGTGGGAGCGCGGTCGCGCTGGCGACGGCTGGGACACCCCAACTGGGGGGCGCTCGTCTCTCGGGGTGGCAGGGATCACTGAGTGGGATTGCCGAAAGGGGTTGGAGTTCCCGCCGCGACCCGACGACCTCGGGGGTCCGCGTTCCCGTCCCCTCCCCCTCCCCCACCCGGCGGGCTGGTTCTGGAACCTTCCGGCGCCCGCGTTGCGCCGCGAGGGCCTCGCGGCAGCTGGAGCGTGCGGGGCCCGCCTCGGCCTCCTTTGTGTGGCGGTTGTCGGTGCGGGCGCCCCGGGCCTCCCGCCACGTGGGCGGGGCCTCCGGCCTCTGAGGCCCAGAGGGGACCGCGGCTGGGCCTCGAGTCCACCCCGCGGGCGCGTGAGGCGGGGGGTCGGATGGCGGCTCGAGGAGCCGCGGCCGGTTGCCCTTGTAACCTCTCGGCCCGTTGCTCGCCGGAGGGCAGGTGTTTCCCGTACAGAAACTCAACGTTAAAAACAAACAAAAACAAAAAGGCGTCGCGAACGTGTGAGCCGAGGGGCGCCGGCTGGGGAGTAGGAGCCCCATTATCCTCCGGGCCTGGCTCGGCGCTCCCAAGCTGCACCCTGCAGGGCCCCCCAGCCTCAAGCCCAGAGTGGGCCTGCTCGGCCTTTAGGCGTCGTGGGTCCCCCCCCAGTCCGCGTTCTCCCCGCTCGGAGGCCTCGATTTTATCATGTGGTGACTCCACCGCCTTCCCTACCCTACCCGGGGTCCTTTTCTCAGCAAACGGCGCGGGGATCGGTTGTGTAACAAGGCCCGCCTGGATCCGGAGAGCAGAATCTTAACCAGAAATGTCTGGCATTTTTGACCCGGGAGAAACAGCCTCACCCCGCACGTTTCTGTAGACCTGCTCATTAAGCTAGCAGGCTTGTTTCTTGGCGCTGTGGAGGCCAGGGAAAGGAGACCGGTAGCCAACTTTGAAAGTCGGCGGTGGGAACTCTACAATGTGATGGATGTTGTCGTCCTTCAGTGAGCCAATGAGTGTAGCCTAGCCTTCACCAGCAGTTTGGTGCACAGTTAACCGGCACGGTGGCGCTTTTTTTGGGGGGGGGCTCTGGAGGAATTTGGGGGGCTGATGTGGCCTTGGAGGCAGTAGGAGAAATCGAGGGGGAAGAGAGAAAGAGCTCTGGGACTTTGATTAGTGCTTGGAAAAGCTTCGAGCATCACAGTTTGGCGACGCCAAAGATGTAGGCAGTAAACAGGTAAATGCTGGCTTTTGATACCAAGCTAAGAGAAAGATTAAACTACAGCCCAGTACATCCTGGTGGGAAATGGTTTCTTCCGTGGGTCTTCTATCCGGTAAAACTCAAGAAGGCAATTGCAGATTTTTGCTTGATAGATCATTGCCACTTTTTAGTCATCTTTCTTCAAATCCTATTTGCTGGTAACCACCATGAACCATATTCGAGTTAAAAGCATGCTCTGGTATACCCATAGTCCTGTCCCTGCTGAGGGAACCTTATGTAGGACTTAGTGTCTTTTCCTGAAAAATATAGTTTAGCTAGACTTTTTCAAAGTTTTTCTTGACGCCAGGTGGTGGTGGCTCATGTCTTTAGTCCCAGCAGAGGCAGCCGTATCTCTTGTTCAAGGCCAGCCTGGTCTTACACAGTGAATTCCAGGATAGCCAGGGCTACACAGAGAAAGCCTGTTGGGGTGGGGGTTGGGGGGCAGTTATCTTGAGCTCTTCAGTCCTTAAAGCTTTCTGGTCCTAAGAAATTTACCCTCCTGGCTTTAATACATTATGTAGTCTAAACCTCCAAATCTCTACAGCTTGGCTAGTGACTGCCCTGAGTAAGCGTCTGTCTTAGGGAATAGTGATTTCCCCCCTCACCCCACCCCATCTGTATCTTGTAGAATAGTGCCTACAGAATATGTCCAGTAAAGCAGAATTACAGTACCCAAATAACTATCAGAACAAGAAGTAAAACATTATCAACATTCTTGAGCCCTACCCACCCATCATAGCCCCTTTGCCTGCTTCTTTATGTACATTTGGGCATGGTTTTTCGGTTGTTAAATTATCTGGCCATTGTTTCAGTGTCATGTTTGAGACAGTAGGAGGCTTGTGTGTTGTATTAGGTAGATAAACATGAGTTGGGGGGTGGTTGCTTCCCTTAACCCACCAAATCCACCAGTTTCATGCTGATCTGAGGTGGTTAGCTGTTCTGTATCAGCTTTGCCAATTTTACATAACTGCTCTTGTGTAAGTCTTTTGTAAACATTGAGCTGAATGCCAGGGAGTTGAAAACCATTTTTTACACAGAAACTTCAACAAAATGAAGGTTGCAATATAAGGATTTAGATGCTTCGTTGGTGTATTTTACAAATGCTACATGGAAGTGATTTACATTTTTTATTTCATATAAAGAATGTGACAAGTAACTAGTCATAGTTTAATCCTAGAACTTGGGGAGGAGAGGCAGGCAGAGTTTGAGGCCAGCCTGGTCTACATAGTGTGTTCCAGGACAACTGGAGCTACATAGTGAGACCCTGTCTCCAAAAAAAGGTAACATTGAAAATGCTTCAGGATTTTGGTTGAACATTTATTTTTTTGTTGTAGGTATCTTTGGGACAGTTTACTGATGATATTGATAATGGGGCTCTGAAATTAAGGGTCTAGAGGAAGGAAAGTAGTCACATGAGGTATAAAAAGGTAGAAAGACGGTCCACTTTTAAGAGATGAGTTCAGGATATTGTGAAGCAATATTGCGTGGAGTGGGTTAGATCCCCTTCGTGAAGAAAGATGTCGACTGTTGCTTTGGGGTTAGGGACTGACTGCTTTCTGATTGGAAAAGAAAGGACCCTTTTGTTCAGTCTTAATGGCAGTACTGTCTTTGAACACCAAAGAAGATGTGTTCTTGTAGAGGGGAAATAATTAGAATTATTTAAAAAAATAATTGCTCACTGGGCAGTAGTGGCACAAGCCTTTAATCCCAGCACTCAGAAGGCAGATGCAGGCAGATCTGAGTTCGAGACCAACCTGGTCTACAAAGCAGGTTCCAGGACAGCCAGAACTGTTACACAGAGAAATCCTGTATTGAAAAACATAAAAAAATTGCTTTGCCTTAAAAAAAAAAAAAAAAAAAAAACCCAAATTATCTAACTTTAATTCAGTGGTGCTTTGAAAATTTAGGCATTTATTTTCATAACTTGATACCTGTATAGACTGGATTTAGTCCCTTTTTGTTTGTTTTTGAGACAAGGTCTTTCACAGCCCTAGCTGTCCTGGAATGCACTGTGTAGACTAGGCTGGCCTAAAACTCACAAACCCACCTGTCCCTGCTTCTTGAATGCCACTGGGATGAAAGATATGTGCCAACTAACCAGGCTAATTCCTTTGATATAGTATAAATTTCATATGAGAAAGAAAATGATAGCTGGACTCATTTACAGAGAAGAAAATTTGTGGCTTTTTTTTAAAGTTGAAATCATTTTTTTTTTTTTTTTTTTTTTTTTTTGGTTTTTCGAGATAGGGATTCTCTGTGTAGCTTTGCGCCTTTCCTGGAACTCACTTGGTAGCCCAGGCTGGCCTCGAACTCACAGAGATCCGCCTGGCTCGAAATCATTTTAAATTTTAGGAAATGGCAATAATGAACCTAGAATAATTTTTTCCCTGGGCCTATTAAGTGCTTTATCATCTTTGCCAGTTTTTAGGGTTCTGTTAACCTGGCTTCAGTTTGTGCATGCTGCTGGAGTTGGAACCCAGGGCATCCACATATGCCAGGTTATAGTCTTGGGAATGTGCATGTGTTCTGACCACTGATGTACTCCCTCCCATCCTTTGCCTTGGCTTCCCTGGGGTTTCTAGCGTTTGTGTTACTCTGAAGATAGCTCTAACAGTAGGCTCTTCTTAGATTTAATAACTGTTGTGTTTTTTTGTCATTCTATTGCACTGTTACTGTTACAGGGAATTGTAGTTGGTCTTACTAAATGATAAAGACTGACAGAAGCTGGACATAGTAGCTCACTCCTGTAATCCCAGCACTGGGGAGGCAGAGGCAGGTGGATCTCTGAGTTTGAGGTTATGTAGAGAGACCCTATCTCAAAAACACAAAAATGCTAGGCATGGTGCTGCATGCCTTTACTGGGAGAGGGCAGCAGAGACAGATGAATCCCTGAGCTTGAGGCCACCATAGTCTACAGAGTTCTAGGACAGCTAGGACTACACAGAGAAACCCTGTCTCAAAAAACAGAAAGTTGGGGGAAACATTCTAATACTTTTGCATTGTTCCTTTTTATATGATTGTAGAGTTGGTGCTGTTTTGTGGTCTTGGTTTCTATTAGCCTTAAGATAATGATCATGTGTTTGAATTGACAGCTGGTGGTTGAGATGGGTTTATGATCGTGGGACTATGCAGGATATGCGAGGTTTCCCTGCCAACTCAACTGATCTTGACCTCATTAGTTAGCACCATATTCAGACTTCTTGCATTTAACTGGCTTTTAATTGGTTTGGTGTTGAGAGATGAGATGTGCTAACTGTGACTTGTGTCTGCATATAGGGCCACTCTAAACAGTTTAAAAGAATTATTCTTGTTGCCTCAATTCTGCCTCTTACCCCTTCCTTGTCTGTG